CGCACACTTATGTGGTTTTCCAGTTGATCGCACGAATATTAATTTCCTCGTAAAACAAACAAATTCATTGTTAAATCTACTTACACGCTTTATCACTCACATACATACATACATATGTATATATGCATCCGCTCTCATATTAATCTACTTTTCAAGAAGTCACAAAGAGTTGGTGGATTATGAAAACTTACTTTGAATTACATCATGCATTTTGCTGAGATTCCCGTGAATCATAGTACAGGGGTTGTTCAAAAAAAAATTTCTATGTAATAATTACTTTAATTAGAGTACTGAAAAGATTCTAAATAGGAATTCCACAAAATCGACGAGTCTTTCATTGCTTTGCTGGGAGGTGTCAATTAGATGCTAATTATTAGAGGCAAGAGAATAGACAGATAACCCATACAACCTGTCGACCAAGGTTGATACGCTAATCATAAAAAGTATTATAAATATATTTTAATCTCCTGCATTTTTCTAATTAAATTAATTTAGCTAATTTTTCCCTGGTCATGCGAATAGTAGAAATCACATTTACTAAACCTCTTTCAGGCTATTTGTTATTTACTATTGCATTAACCTCATCATTCTAGCTCTTATTCCACGCACATCACACAGATGTTCGGAGCTTGGTGAAAGAATTATTGGAGGGGTCTTTTCCAAGGAGCTTTCCATCAACCTTAAATTGTGGTAGCTGCTAAAGCTATTTGATGTGACGCCCAAATGGCAATCAGTACTCTAGAATCGCTTGTGGCACGATTTGAACTAATCTGTTGGCTCGAATTACGTCCATATCAGGCCGATTTGTGTTCGGGGGTGCAACGATATTGCATGTCTAATGAATTCACTAGGCATAACGCCCCCGATTTCGTCCTACCTTAAGGACGAGTATACAAATTTCTGTGGCCGCCTGAGGACTGCTCCTGGATAGCTGGACTTTTATTTGGCTTAGCGAGTGCAGGCAGAATACCCAGGGTCCATCCGAGATATCTGCAAATACAAAAGTAGTTATATGTATCTCTTGATATACCAATACTGGCATTACCTACTATTATATACAAAAGTATATCCGTGGTTTTTCTGTAAAAGTTTGCTAGCGACTGCTCAAATATTCTTCAGAACCCACAGATGCTAAAATCTTTACAAACGATTTTTTTTTAATTTTTTTCTATTTACTTAAACCTACTCATGATTGAATCCTTTAACCTCTTAGATGTACCGTAAAACGCGTTGAAGTAAATTTAGGAACCAATTTTTTTTTATTCTTGTCGTAGAAGTTGAGATGATCAATGATACGAACATTTGGCCTCCGGTATAAAATAAATAAATTACCAGGAAAATGGGTCAAAAAGGAGGACTTTCCCGTATAATACAGGACAAATGGTCACCGTATCGGTATATCGTACTTTAAGAACTGACGGTAAATGCACAAACTCGATATGTTCTATGATGAAAAATTTAAAACCCTGGGGATCGCAAGTTCGGCACATTGGAAATTTTTCGAAGCACCTCAGTTAGAGGCAAGCCATAAATACAACTAGTAACATATTTATTTTCTAATGAGTTTTCTACTAAATATGTATTATTATTGATACTCTGCGACATTTGTGATATCTTCAATCACGCTTGCATATGCATACACACATACATATACATATATATACGTAGTTATGTGTGCTTAAATGTGTTGCTAAAGTTAAGAACATATAGAAACTGCCTTAACTTAGAATCGAAAGAATCAACAATATTCAATTAACTTTAGACATCCGTATATACATACGTACATACTTACATATGTATGTATGTAGTTTGTGTTTTGCATTTACAAAAGTCTAACTGAAAATATTAAGCCAGTCATTGCACTGCATTCTCTTAAAAGCTCTTAGAGTATATTTCTAAACAATTTTATTAAATTTACTGCTTCGCATTTATTTTCATCTAGTCTAATTGTTCTGTTTCATTGTGACATTTTGCCATCCATTCGCTTTCATTTTAGTGGTCTTAACCTTCATTAACTGCTGGGACGTTAAATGGGCCACCGCTGTGCAGGATATCTTCACATATGCCAAGCTATTGGCGCTCTTCATCATCATCGCCACCGGCGTATACCAACTGTCCTTGGGCAAAATGGAATACTTTACATTCGAGAATACAGACACGAGAGTAACTTCACTAGCGCTGTCCTTCTACTCTGGATTGTTCGCCTACAATGGCTGGTAAGTTGACATGAGAAAATGCGTAAATACAAACATACATATGTATGTACACACATAGGTACGAAGAGCAAACAAAGTGGCAGACAGACAGGAAATCAGTGGAGAATGTCCAATAAAATAAATTAACAAACAAAGTAATGGGATTTAAGTAATTGGCTTTCAGGCGATCAGAAATTATTTTAATATTATATGCACATGCAAAATTTTACATAGATATGTAGTATGTATATAGATGTGTATGTGCATACCATATACATAAAATAGTGCCCCTTTCAACTAATATCACTGGAAAAACTTTATATTTTCTACAGAATTACTATAGAATTACTTGAGAAAAGTGCTGGTAAAATCTCCAGCATGTCCTTTAAAAACTGGCGTTATTTTCCAGGTTTTTTCTTAAACATACCATTTTCATAATTTACGGACGTCAAAAGAATAGACTGAGAAGTAAAGTACCGAATTTTCCCTGCCGAATAAAAAAATAATAATAACGTTATCGGGAATTCTTCACCCATTGTCAAATGTTATTTCTAAGGTCTGTTTAAGACTAAACTTCATAGACCAGGATTAAATCTCTTCCAAAGTTGCGTTTATTGTAAAGCGAGAAAGACCCTGCCATGTAAGCCAAATTACTTTCGACCGATAAACCGTACTACTTTCCACCTTAAGGTACTTGAAAAACCACTATATATACAAATCTGGCAGAGAATTTAATATAAATAAATAAATTATCGCTGCCAGCAGGCCTATTGCAATGGCAGGTCTGCTCACACATCGAAGTGTCTTCGAAATGTTCCTTCAGCTGAACTATTGATTTTGATATTTGCACGGTGTCTGCAACCAGATAAGCTACAAGTGCATTTCGCAGTACGTTGTCCTACCTATGGAATATAATGGTGAAAAGAATTGCAAGATAAGGGCATGCAGATTTTTACCTATACATGGAAACGGAACCAAATCTCGAACCTGTATCCGTTTAATTATAAAATTACTTTAGCAAAAGGGCAAATGGTAGATGATCTGCAGAGTCAACGTGAAGGGTCACATCCATCTGGCCTAAATTAGCTAAAAGAAGTTTAGCCCACTTTGCCGACTGACGTGACCACTGCTTCAACATGTGTGTGTATGTATATAATCGAGGAACGCACGCCAACTTAATGTGTCTGCCGTCGAAAGACTTCTTTCGGTCCGCGAATGACGCCACCGTCATTTTCTGCATCGTGATCTATGTACATATATCAATATGGCGCATTGGCGAGAACCCGCCGACATTCGATTCGCCGCTACTTTTTTGTGACCTTCACCTGAACGACGAATTGGTTTCACTCATTGGGATAAGGAAATTGTAAAGATAATCTCATACTGTATCACAAAGAGGTCATGGTGGCTTAAGTTTGCTTACCAATGCTGAATGGGGTCATCCACGATAACCCATTTACCTACATTGAGATTTTTCAAAGTTCGCTATTTAACACTCTTCGTTAATTAAATAGCATTCGATATTTTACATCACAATATACATACTTATGTACATCTAGTGATAATAGTGACTTTAGTATAATGTACCACATGCAGTAGTTAACGTAGACACTTAAGTATTAATGTAATGTAAAAGACATTTTTCGTGTCCAAACTAACCCAAACAATGGGTGCGTAAAACAACACTCGGACTATATGCCCTCAATTCTATGGTCCGGTCCTATTCAAGGTACCAGGTAGACACCTGTGCCGATAACAGCCAGGTATTTTTTCCACCAGTCTGCAATTCCACCAGCCGTCTGCAGTCTCATCAGCCCAATGAAAGCAAATACCTAGCTGAACTTCGCAGCCCATCGTGCTGGCGAAAATATTCGCCCAGTTTCTGACGAGGCTTTCGATGGTCCAAGTTGGGAGTAATGTAAATAACGGGTTTCTAACCAATTAATACCTGGTCTGCGCACCCGCTAACAAATTGGTAAATTGTCTCCCTAAAGACCTATTACCCAGAGTAAAAAAAGTTCGTTATATTCGTTTAGTTTGGATGTAGTTAGAAAGCTAACCAATGCCTTGAGTACGGATTAGGCCTGGAATTCCATCCGGACTTTTCAACTATCCGGATAAACCGAATATCTGAAGAACCAAACGGAAAATCCGGATATCCCGGAAGCTCAGTTAATATTCGGATATCCGCTTAAGCAACGTTGTTTTCCATTTTTCCTAACAAACAAATCGTACCACGCTATTGAAATAATTATTAATACGCCACAGTAAAAATTGACAAATAAATCCGGATTTTTCGTTAGATCTCCGGATATCAGATATTAATAATTTAATTAATTTAATTTTCATTTCCAACATAGGCCAAATAAATTAATAAAATGTGTCCATTTCCCGGCGGCCACTTTTCCAGTTTTTATTAATTGATCGCGAGAATTTTTCATGGCTTTAAAATATCGTGGACTGATTAGCGAAAGCTGCTACGATACATTTGGTCGTAGTTAATGCTTTACCAAATTTTGTTGATTTTATACGATACGAATATTAATCGGTTCTTTGTAAATCCGGATAACTACACAACCTAATATTAACCGGATATCCATGCTATCCGGATTTTATTCGTGTCAACGTGTTGTTACAGATTCTATGGATCCATGTGCGCATAGCTTCTAAGTACTTTATCTTTACCAATGCCTTCTTATACCTTCCAATACCTTCGTATCACTTCCAATGCCTTTGTATACCTTCCAATACCTTCGTATTCCTTCCAATGCCTTTGTATCCCTTCCAATGCCTTTTTATCCCTTCCAATGCCTTTGTATCCCTTCCAATGCATTTCTATCCCTTCCAATGCTTTCGTATGAAATTTTTACATACATAAATCAGTAAACTAATTGTATTCATTATTTCTTACTTAAAGTTATTTATACTCAAATATACATACCTTATTTTTCCCTTCTTCTTTTAAGGAATTACTTGAACTTCATTATTGAAGAGCTTAAGGATCCTGTCAAGAATTTGCCCCGCGCTATTGCCATCTCTTGTACATTGGTCACCATTGTCTATGTGATGGCTAATGTTGCTTTCTATTCAGTTCTATCACCCGAAGAAGTCTTGGGATCGGCCGCTGTGGCAGTGACCTATGCGGAGCGTGCATTCGGCATGTTTGCATGGACGGTACCAGGTGAGCAGGGGGCGAGATAAACAGTTGCAAGCAAGCCATTTGACCTTGAACTTTAAATATGTATTTCTTTTTTTGTTTTCAGTATTTGTTGCGCTCTCAACCTTTGGCGCAGTAAATGGTATTTTACTTACCTCTTCACGTCTCTTCTATGCTGGCGCTAATGAGGGTCAAATGCCGGAAATCTTAACCATGATACAAATACAACGATTCACACCCACACCGGCCGTTTTGATAATGGCGTTGCTATCGATGTTGTACCTGACCGTATCGGATATATTTGCGCTTATCAATTATGTGGGCTTTGCTACTTGGGTAAGTGAATTGACAATGCAATAACAATTACAACTACAAGCGAAGTAGAGGGTTGACTATAAGTCAGTTGAGTCAAGGATGGATTTTAAAGGCAAAAACGCTTTGGCGGACTTTATATGGGTTATTCCGTGCAAAACTTACGATGGTTTTTTGGTGTAAAATAATTTTTTTTTTACATTCTTTATATTCGAAAAATCTCAAAACAAAAATCCGAAATTTTGAACTCACAGAATGGTATCTTTTTCAATTATTTGTAGTTAATTAACTATTTTTCGTTAATTTACCGGCAATTTAAATGGAAAGTGATTTTTTATTTTTTGTCAATTTGCATATAAAATTCAAAAAATTAAAATCATTTTTCACTTAAATTGCTTTAGTGAAATTGGCTGTTATGGATTTAAATAAATAATTTGTTGCATTAAAAGACTGCATTTTTTTATTTTTAATAATTTTTTATTAATTGTACACCGTTTGATTTTTTGTTATGTATCTAAATAGTTGTCCAACTTTATGGAGAACACACTCGTAACTTCTACAGTTTTGGTTTTTTCATTCTCAAATTTTTACAGTGTACTCCATAAAGTTTTACAACTATTTAGAATACAAAAAAAAAATCAAACGGTGCATAATTTATAGAAAAAAAAATTAAATAAATATTAAAAAAAAAGCAATATTTTAATGCGTAAAATTATTTATTTATTAAAACAAAAAGGAAAATTTAAAAAAGACATTTCTCTGAGTTAAATATTTCAGAATTTTTTCTCGAGATTTTCGAATATCATTATGAAATAAAAAAATTGGTGTTTCCTTTTTTCGATAAATTATTTATGTAAAAAAATATTTCAGACCAAAAAAAAAATTAGGTGTAAATTTTTTATGGATTCATTTTTTTTTTCAAACTTAAAGGAAACGTAAATAACTTCATTTCAGCTGACTACTACACATATAAGATTAATATTCATATTTTTCTCTGATTGTTTTCATTTCTTTCAACAGCTTAGCATAGGCGTGTCCGTACTCTGCCTGCCTTGGTTACGTTACGCTCAACCCAATCTGCCACGTCCCATACGCGTGCCACTCATCTTTCCAGTTATCTATCTACTCGCCACCATTTTTGTTACCGTTGTGCCCATGTACGCTAGCCCCGTAGAAACCGGTTATGGCATCCTCATGATCCTAACCAGCATACCTGTCTATTTTGTATTCATCGCGTGGAAAAACAAGCCAATTTGGTTCCAGAAGACTATGGGTAAGTTGCTGTGGATGTGGAAAAGATTTTACACAAATTATCGAAAAGTAATATCAAAAATGGAAGAGCTTTTTACAAACTCCCAAATTTAATTTGATCAAATTTTAAATGGTGTATAATTTTATTCGATTCTTTTTTCGAATCATGCATATTCATCTATGCTGTTATGTTGAATCATTTCTCTTTTAGGTGGATTCACACAAGGACTGCAAAAAATGTTGATGGTTGTTCGACCAAAAGCTTCCGCTTCAAAGGTTTTTATTTATTTTTACTCATATTTTTTGCACAAATCTGCATTATTTTAAGGTCATGCGCATTTTTTATTAATAAATAGTTGAACTTTTGCAAAATTTGCCCGCTTTTAATTTTGAATTAATTACAGTTTTAGTTTAAATTTTCTTTTAAAGCACCCTATAGTAAAAATTGTTTGCACTTACTTTTTTTGTACCTATGTAGGTAGACCATAAGTAGTTAAAGGTGGGTTAAAGGTATTTATGAAATTTATTATTATTAAAAAACACATTTTAGAAGTAAGTACAGTATCATTAATATTTCAATAACAGCAGTTAAAACCTGAAATCTAAAGGTAGAGATGCTTCCTCTTATAAAACTCTTTCTAAGCTTCTTTATACCCGTAATTATGTGACGAAGTCAAAGAATTTCATACTCGCTTATCGCGCATACAGCCGAGTTTATCTGCAGTTAAAAAAGATCTGAAGATATGCAAAAAAGATTCAAAATCTGCCCTAAATTAAACTCCAATTAATTTACATCTAAAATAAACGGTAACGCATTCGACTCCAGACTCAGAAACCCAAATTACGTTAGTTTGTGTTGGGTAAAGGCCTTATGCTTCCACTCAAATGCATATTTGCTTCTCATCACAGCTGCAACAGAGTGCAGATTCAACTGCATTAATTGCAGCATAAATTTCGGATTGAAAAATATTACAATTTGGCATTCATTATGAATCCATGTGTGAAGAAATAGTGGGAAGCAAATGGCTCTTGTTGGCATCAGGCTAGCCTAGTGGATAACCAAACTCTTTCTATTTTAGTGATGTGCTGAATTGTCGGTAAGCAATACTTGAAAAAATTTTCGGTACCCAATACTTTCTTCCGATTCGATATATCAAACTTTCGTCATAATGTGTTTAAATATGTTACTATTCAAACCCGAACTTAGGACAAAATAGTTTTTCCTGGGCTAAACTGGTTCTACCAAGATCCAATACACCCGTTTATCGCAGATAGGGCATTTTTGAACCAAATTCTACAATAGGGCGTTCTTCAACCAAATTCTAAGATAGGGTGTTTTTCAATAAAATTCTGAAATTGGGGTTCTTCAATCAAATTTTGATGATAAATGTATCGCGTTATTTTTGGAAGTAGAATACCAGTTGGTATATTTTTGGAACACGGAAAATTTAAATTTATGAAGCTTTGGAGAAGCCCTCATTCCGATATTTTATTGCATAACCTAATCGTTAAATGTATATACAATTACAATACACTCGGCATTAAAACCTCTATTAGTCCCCTTATTCGGCTATTGATAGGCGAGGCTCCCCTGAACTGCTTCTATTCCATATTTTTGGCTGTTGTGAGTATCGAAAGTATTGGCTACTTTCCAAATCGGTACCGAGTATCGATCAATACTTAAAAGTATCGACTCAGCATATCACTAATCTCTTTCTTGGAGGCTTTCAGTAGGTACGCATTTTTTGAGTATAGAAATCGAACAGATCTCAATTGAAATCTCATGAACGATACCGAATTGTTACAATATATTTTGTGCGAAGTCATAGCCATAGAAAGACCAAAGAGTAAGAGTCGAATTTTGAAAGTCGCTATTCGGACTAGCAACTCGAAAAATTATGGTAACAACTCAACATTTATATGTATTTATTTAATTTCGTAAATACCTTTCTTACACATTACTTGGTGAAAATCTTAGAAAGCGCTGCACAAATGCCATTATTTTGGAAATCTGCATTATATAGCTAGAAATTTCTTTATGGCATATAACCTTTTTTTAAAATTAAATATACCGTGGAAGAGAGGATTAGGATAAATGAAAAACCAACAAAAATAAAGTTTTCGTCAAAATTTGGTACAAAAAATCCCAGCAGGGAGCAGGTGTACTAAAAAAAACATACATACATATGTGTCAAATAAAACGAATGTCATTTTCTTTCAGCGCCTTGTAAAAATTTCGTTGTCGGTCACCATAAAATAATTGTTGCAAAAATTCAGCCCTCCTTCTTACCGTTCGCAAACATACGAATTGTTAAAGAAAAAAAAATTGTCCGCTACTTAAAAAAAAAAAAAAAGCAATTAAATATAACAAATAAAAGTAGAACCTTATAGCAAGTTTAAAGTAGCTAGGACTTACCGTTGCTTTTTGGCAAATTTTTTGGTGAAGGTTAACTTAGTTTTTTCTAGTGTTGGGCAGTACTCAAAACTCGATTCTCAAAAGTATCGATACTGAGTACTCCAAAGAACTCAGTACTCAAGAAAGAACTCGAAAGTATTCGGTACTCAAATATACTCTGACCTCCGGATAGATTCAATGTGCTCAGGATTAAGTGTCGTATAGGTACTGAAAAGTATTGTGTTTTATTAACATTTACCGGTATTCAGAAATATTCAGCTTGTGAGGTTTCTACTTTAAGCATTGAAATGCTACCTTCACGTGCATATTTAAACAAAGTACTCAGTACTCTCAAAAATATCCGATCCTTAAAAGTATCGATACCAAAGAACTCAATCCTCAAAAGTACTCGATACTCATCGATTCGAACACACTTTGTGTGGAAGAAAATGATTAACAGAGTCAACAAAAAAAACTTGCAATAGTTCCTAGCTAGTACCGAATTGCAATTAATATGCTAAAATTGAAAGTTGTTTTTTTTACTTGTTATATTTAACTGCTTATTGAAAAAAGTAGCGGTAAAAAATTTCTTAATTAAAAATTCTTATTTCTGCGAGCACTAACTGAGAAATTAATGCATGTAACCATTTTTATATTTTTGATGGCAGTCATAATTTTCCATATACAAAAGTATATCGTTAATTCACAAAGTCCTAACTGGCAAATTTTGTATTTTACAGGAGAAGAAAAAAACATTATAAAAAGAAACAAAAACAGTAGATATGGCTTTTTAAAAAGTGGCATAACTCCACAGTTTCGAAAAAAGTGTCGGTTAGGGTCTTTGTGCATTCATGTAACGATATATCGAGGCATTATATCCAATACCCTCTATCTGCACTTTTCACAAAAATGAGATTTTGATTTAAAAATCCCCCTTAGACTTAACTGTCATTGGTGATATTAATGCTGACCTTATATAACGCTTGACACAAGACTGAATTAACATCAGTGATGACAGGTAAGTGCCAGACGGGTTCGAACATCGTAAAGTAGTTTTTGTGAAAATTGCGGATAGAGGGTATTGAATATAAACCCTCGATATACATACAGACGTATTTTTTTTTTTCAGTAAAAAATTTTTCCCCGCTGTTCCCTGCGGAACTTTTTGCACTAAATTTAGACAAAAAATTTATTTATGTTGGTTTTTAATCATTTCTCACCACCGTATATATTTAATTTTAGAAATAACTCATACACGTAATGTACATATGTTTTAGTTTCATATACATATGTACACACATACATACATACATATACGTATGTACAATTTTAAATTAAAAAAAAAAAATAATAAAAACATTTAAAACGTTTATATTTACTTACAGTAAGCATCACACGTTTTCTACAAAAGACGCTTATGGTAGTCGGCAAAAGTAAACCAGCTCAGGTGTAAATGTCATAATCAAGGACCTTCCTAAAATTACAGACATAAAATACTATATGATAAACGTGTGTACATACAAACATACATACATATGTATGTCCAAAAGTCCATATGTCTATTTAGGTACAATACCGCCATGGCATTTCATTCCATTGTACTATATGTACGTATTACTGTAAAGTACATTTTTTTTTTTAGAGTATACATACACATGTTTGTATATAGACTCAAAATACATACGTATGCATAAGTAATTATGTATAGTTATATAAAAGATTGTTAAACAACGCGAAACATACATATAAAAATGTTATTCAAACTTTTAGGGGGACCATTACAACTAATTTTATAAGGAAATCTTTATAAAAATGTAATCACAAAAGAAAATTATTCTTACAATTTGATTTTTGAATGTAATTAAGAAAATAATATGCTAAACATACATACATACATATGTATGTATATTCTAACTAACATTTACATTCAGATGCATGACTTTCACAAAAACGTTCCAGTGCTGTTGGCTTTAATATTTGTTCTCATTTGAGGAGCTTTCAATATTTTACTTTTCTTGCAAATATTTTAGTATATAGTTTCGCGGGAATATTATGTATGCATATCTAGTAATTAAAAAAGTATATGATAGTTTTTATTTAGTTGCATTTCGATATTCTAAGTTAATTTTTTTTATGCCATTAAATTGTTAGAGATATTTTAATAAGTTTGCATGCAGTGATAAAAAAAATACAATTATAAACACATTAGGGCAAAAATATGTAAATAGGGAGTCAAACCTCGAAATGATTTTGATAAAAAACAGTTTATTTTAAGAATGTAAAGGTACGGTACAATGTCTTTAGATATAGTACGTTGCTTAATGCCATGACTGTATTTGGAAGCACTCAAAAAGTGAGGTTTCGGAATTAAGCTTATTAAGCGTATTAAGCTTATTGGAGGATACTCCAGTTCCTAGGAGCAATCACAAGAAATATTTTTCATTATTTCCCTGGCTGGAAAAAGTACTTTTTTTAAAGAAATTTTATGTTTTATTTATTTTTCATATCTTAAGCGTTGTTTTTTTTCTTAAGAGCTGGGGCTGGATTTTCTAACAGTAAGTTTTCGTGTGCTTTCTGAAAATTGTGTACACCCTTCATTTTGTCATTCAGGAAGTATGAGAATGAGTTTTAACTGTCAAAATTGTGTACACTTCCCTTCTGAAAAAATCACAGCATTTTATTTGGTGAGTTTTGAATTCGGTGTAGTGTACACCTCATTTTCTCAGTTACGGAATCCAGAGGCTGGTTACCGTGCTTTACCAGACACGCGCTTGTTTGAGCAGACCTCAAATCGACTTTTTCCCGATTTTTACTTCATTCTTAAGCAATTTGAAACCACAAGGCTATCTGGACTACAAACTATAAAATTTTAATATTGAAAACCAATTTTCACAATCTTTTTTCTTTTTAGCATATGTACATAGATATATATTTTTATGTATTTTTTCGGAAAATTTTAACTTTGAACTATTTTGCTGGGTATTCGAGTGTTAAAGAATAAAACAATTTCTTCATTCTTACAAACAAATTTATATTTGAAATATTACATAATGCTACAATGTATGCAATTAAAGTGAACAAAAAATTTGCTTAAAACCTTCAAAAAATAAATAATAAATATTTATTTTAATTTATTTAACGCATCTTTTACCTTTATATATGTATATTTAAGAACTAAAAAATAAGTTAAATTTTTTTTTTTATTATATTCGCCCCACTTCAGGCATGTTTGCTGCTGTATGGTAACAATTTTAATTTGTAAGAAAGTTTTTAAGTTAAATAATATTCAATTAAAAGAAATAAAAAGTTGTAATACGAGGGTAGTTTGAAAAGTAAGTAAATTTAAAAAAAAAAAAACATATTTTTTCGACAAAGGTCTTTTCCTTATATTTTCCTTATATACATACGCACATATACAAATATTATATTTATGAAAACATTTAGTGCAGCGTGTCTTCAACTCCGTCATCCCTTTGAAATAAGCGGTTTCATTAACCCTTTCAGTACAAAAGCAAGTGTTGAAGCTACAATTTTTATACCAGCTAATTTTGGGTTGTTGATTTCAAAAATAAAATCAAAAATTTTATTTACTCTCAGTTTTACCGTTATTAAGCATCCCTTTTATTGAACAGTGGAACCCTAATGGTTCAAAATATGATGTAGTCTCAATAATTTTATTTTTTTCTTTCGCTGAATATAAACATACATGAAAAATACTCAAATTCATTTTCGAATCTCAACTCCACCAAAAAATGGTATATTTTTTTGAGATTTTTTTCACTTTTGGGAAAAAACGGTCAATTGTGTTTAGAAAAATAAATTGAAGAAATGTGGCAAAGAAGAATAATAAAATTTACTCAAAACAACTGTTCTCCTAATAACAAAAGCTCTTATTTACGAAAACAGAGCTATACGTTAGTCCAATATAATGGACGCTAGTACTAAAGGGGTTAAGGTACCGAAAACAGGCGCTTGCTGCAATGATGTCTCAAAATTTCAGGTTAGGAAATCGGAAATAGTCGGAGTTAACTAATTCTGATGGATATGGCAGCAGTTGGTACCACCAAAAAAAAAGAGTTTTGGCGCGACAATTTCGGCCTTATTCATAATTTGATGTTTTCATAGAGAATTTTCGATTTTTAAAGCAGTTAAGGTCTTCTTTATTTTTTGTGAATTTGAGTGTTTTGTTTTTATTTTCGTCCCTGCTTAAAAGGTTTTTTTTTTTTGGCTTTCAATGAGTGTCAAACATAAGGCACAACTGCTAACAGTAAGTGGTTTAAGGGAGCAATGATGCATTTAGCGATACTATAGGAAAAATTCAAAAATTCACTGACTTATCACACTGTCTTCGCTATAAAAATATAAACAAATTCAGCATCGCCGGACATTCGTGCGAACAGTGTTTGTCTAAATCTACAGACTAAACGAAAAGAGAAGCATATTATTGACTGCCAATTTTTAAAGAAGAACAGCAACACAACGAAGGCTTGTTTAACGAAAAAAATTTTGACATAAAAGTATACCTTGGTATGTATGTATGTACATATATCACACATATCTTCTACATAGAAAATTGTAGGAAAAATCTATAGCAAGAAACCCTGCTACTGATGACCTGAATATAAAAATTAAACCTTTAAATTGTTAAAGCCCTATTTTCTTTTTGATAAAAAATTAGAACGAAATAGCTGAGTTTCCCCACTGAAATTTGTATGTGGCTTTGTAACAACGAGTGCTATCATCTACTGAAACAAAATTATGTATGCAGTTAAAAATGTTGCAAAAAACATACATAGTTTGGTTAATAAAAAAAAAAAAATACAGTGAAAGGTATATTCATTTTTTTTTTAAGTTAACTATGTAATTAAGTGTGTGCATACATACACACTTTAACTAGTATATAGCAAAGTTATATACATATTACCAAACTCTGAATTGTATTGGGGAAGTTGTTGACAATAATATTCATATTACAATTAAATATTTATGTATACTTATCATATAAATGTAATTATGTGCACATTGTATTGCATATAGCTATGTATTTGGAATTTATTGTAATGCTACGTACGCTGTGAGAAACGAATGTAAACAATTAACTTGCTAAACTGATTTACGAATTCTAATTGTATACATACTTGCATAGTAAATACATAGTAAAGAGAAAAATTTTAATTTCAAAAATGTCTACACATATTTGAAAATTTTAAATAAATAGTTATAATTAATTACTATATGTATGTATATTTTTTTTGTTTCATGTAAAATGTAGTACATACTTATTTAATACACAAATTAATTCTATTCGCTCACAGCCAGGCGTAATGGAATTAATTTATTCGATAGAAATTATATTGAGAGAGAGAAAAATAAATAAAGAAAAAACAAGAAAATATTTAAGAAGACAACCAATTCATGTGTTTTTTATTACATCTAATTATCCATCCACAATGCAAAAACAAATTCGAACTGCAAAACAGACTTTTTGAAAATAATCATAATCCTAATTCTGAAACCATGCCAATGTTATGTGGACTTAGGGCCGGTTGATCAAAGGCTGGTTGACACTAATCCCCAGTTAAACATCGTTATAGACGTTACCAACACCCTGTTATTTGAATGGAGTCGAAAACGTCGATAACGATGTCTAACCAGGGATACGTGTCAACCAGGCTTTGAGCAACCGGTCCTTAGACGGATTTCCTTTAGGGCCGGATGCTCAAAGCCTGATTAACACTAATCATCGGTTAACATCGTTATCGACGGTTTCGACTCCATGCATATAACACGGTGTCGGTAACGTCGATAACGATGTTTAAGGTGGTGTCTCAGATGTGGTCCCATACTGATCTGGTTTTGATCCGATCATTCGATCATGAAATATATATATTTTTTTTTAAGTCATTTTTTTTTGCTAAAAATTACTTGTTTTTAATAAAATTTAAAAACAAGTAATTTAAAAAGAAAATTTTAAAGACACGCTTTTACTAGTGGTTTATTCGGTTTAAGGTTAAATCTCCCAACAATAGGTTGTGCGCTGGGGTTGGGGCCTGCCAGGTAAAAATAGATCCTTCCTTTCACAATGTAGATAGTGTGCCAAGAAATGACAATATCCATGGCTTTGTTTGTTTTCTTTTCTAGCAGATAATTATCAGGAAGAAGAAGAATAGGAAAATTGAGGGAATTACGCTCACAGAGAGCGAAATAAAGAAATAGTAAAGAAACGCAAAACTAGCAGAAACTAGATATTAAACAGCTGATCGATGTATTTGAATATTGAAAATATTTGGCGCGAATTTTCGTTTATCCATTTTCACAGCTGCTAGTCGTAAACCTTTTACTGCCATCCCTAAATTGGCGCGTCAAGCGCCAAACAACTGTCAAAAATCCTCATGCCCATACAATTTGTATGAAGCATCCCACAATAACGCGG